AAATGGGGGCATTGATCAGAAAGATGCTGAGCAGCATGGCCTGGCTGGGCAGTGCCTGGCTCCCCAGCATCTCACCGCCTTGTGGGATGCCTCCCTGCACACCAAATGGGACCTTGCTGTCAGATGATGAGGTGTAAGGTGCAGGGCAGAAGACAAGTCTGGGCTTTTAAATCCTTTGTTGAGCTGAAGCCCGAGTTGGAGGGTTTCAGATTCTAAAAGGCTGCTTCTGCTGAAGACTCCTTGTCTGTCTTTCCCCTTTCAGAGGCAGGTGAATCCGAACCATCCCAGATGGGATTCCTGTGAAATGCTTGTGGAGATGCGCTCCTGTCCCTGGGCTTGCCCTGTGGCAAGTTTTGCTCAGGCTGAGAGAAGGAGTTGGGCAGCTGCCAAAAGGAAAACTGTCTTGCTGTGTGTGGCTGTGCCTGAAGCTTGTAGAAACAGCCTTCAGCAGAGTTTCTGGTGGATCCCAGGGTGCGTATGCGCTGAGCAGAGCTGGATGCTTGCAGTGCTGTTGAGCCCAAACCCAGCCGCCCTTGATGCAGCTCTGCCAGTGTGGCCCTGCACTTCAGCTGCTGCTCTGTACTGTGTTTGGTGAGAGGGGTCCTGCTTTTCCTGCTGTGATGCTGTGGCCTCACATGGTTGAAAATGGACCCATTGCAGCACCCGGACTTACTCATGTGCTGCTCCCTGTCCCCGTGGACAGAGCTGTTGGCCTTGTCACAAAGGGGAATAACAATATGCTTTGGAGGTGTAAAGCGTGCTCGTTCCCTGCTACACCCCAGCTAGCTTTTCCTCCCTGACAATTGGATTTACCGGTGACATACCAGGTTGGAGGTACTGGGTGGGAGTTGCATGCCTATCAGTATTTGTTAGCCCTTCTGTGCTTCCAGTGGGCATGAAATTGCAGCAGAAATGTCTTGAAATGAAGGATGGAAGAGATGAGACAAAAATCTGGACAAGGTGCCCTAGAACTGGCCAAGCAAAGGAACCACAATTCTTTCCATCCCTTATTCTTTCCAAGCTGACTCATCCGCTGCACCGGAGCGGTTGCTGTTTCTGATGGCTCCTTTTCTCCGCTGCCCTCAGAGTCCTCCCTCCCTTGCCCTGCAGCAGAAGGGTTTTGTTCTGCAGAGTGTGATGTGCCTTCCCTGCTCTGTCTGTCCTGCCAGCGTAGGCAGTGCCAGGACCAGCAGCGCAGAGTGGGGAACACAGCACATCACATTTATTTCCAGCTGAAAGTACTTTTCTTCAAAAATTGTAATCTTTGGTTTGGGACTTCCCTTCTGTGCTGGGAATCCTGATGCTGTGCCGCAGACTGCCCAGGGCAAACAGGGCAGTTGTCACAGCTTGGCAGGAGAGAGCTGGCTTTAGGTTAGCATTGCCTACTGCATTCTTGTCCATGTTTTGAATGTAGAAGAATGCTATGGATGTAGATTTAGCTGGTCAAATCAAAGCTAAAAGTGAAAGCCTGTGTCTGGGTTAGCCTGGTGTGTGTTAGCTAATCCCCACTTAATCTCCATTTCTTTTTCTAATCTAAGCAAACACTTTAAAGCTACTGCAGCGCGAGAGTGGCTCCCACACCTGGGCACTTCTGTTTCATCCTTGCAACCTGAAGAGGGACGGGGTGTGCAGACCCCCTTACCACCAGTGTTGCAGGGACACGCTCTTTGGTTCACCCTGATCCTCTTGTTGTGGGGGTTGAGGCAGGGTCTGAATCGGATCTCAACAAGGACCCTGGGGCTGCAGGTGGAGAGATGGGACCAGAGCAAGAGCATCAGCAGTGTCTGCCTGTGTTTTATTGCAGTGAATGTCAGCGGAAAGGGCAGATGGCTGCACTGCTGCCAAGAGGCTCTGATGCTAAGGCCTGCGTTTCACGTGCTTACTGCACTTTTGGCTGGGGCAGTGGGAGCCTTTCCCCTTCCCCAGCTGCAGTCACACACAGACAGGCTGTCATCCTGAATCCTTCCAGGTGCCCATGTGTTTTCCAGGAAGGCAAGCCATGATAGAGACACCTCCACTTTTCCAAGATGTTAAAACAGCCCAGGAGCTGGCAGACTTTTTAAAGCTTCAGAGAAATAGTAACCAACTGCGTAACTGGCTAATGGTTGCTTAGCTCCCCACACCTCCTGGTGCATCTAACACAAGTGCTCTCCCAGTGCTGAGGTAACTTCCATGATGCTCTGTTTTATCGTTCCTGTCCGTTCCGGTCTGAGGCCGCATTGCAGCAGTGCACCTTGACCCTCTGGAGATGGATACCTAATGCAATTGCCTGTTACCAGCAGTTAGAAGAAGCAATTGCGATTCTGATAGTTGGGGAGGGCCTTTTCTGCTTGTTTATTTTTCCCCAGATTTAGCTCTGGAGGGTTGTTTGTGTCTCAGTGGTGAAAAGTGGTAACAGCGATAATTGGAGGAAATCAGCCCTTGGTTGGCCTTCAGTGAGCAGCCCCTAATAACAGATTAATGTGTGCGGTGTTTTAGCATGAGGCCAGGGTGTCGCTGCCTGCTTTATTTTCTTTAAGCTAGTGTGCTGCAATAGGAAGGAGCAAAACTTTAAAGAAAGCAGAAAATTTTTATTTTGGAGTATAAGTCAGAGTGTGACTCCTAATTCTTGCTTAGGTATGGGGTCCTTTGCTAGCTCGCTTTGAAAAGGCAGAACTTATAGGTACCAGGAACTGAATCTAGCTCCTGCCAAAGCAAAAGGAAAGATTTCTATTGCTTTAAAGAGTTTTGGATCTGGCCTAGAATTAGCAAAAACTCAAGAGAAAAAAAAAAAAAGCTGATCACCACATTTTGGAAAAATGTAGATGGGTTGTATTTACTTTGTGGGTTTTTTTACCTTCCATTAAAGATGAGAGAGTGCTTCAAAGAGCTTTATCCTTCATTGCTGTGAACAACTGCAGTGCTGTGGAGGGCTGTGAAAGCGTGCTGGTTTACATCAGTAGATGCAGGGAGTGTATTAGACCAAGGAAATTGAACTTTCAGCACCAAGTAGGTGACCCAGTGCTCCCTCCAAGGAGGAGACCCCATTGGGATGTGAAGCTGGCTGCCAGAGTAGAGGTCTCTGCCCTGTCCTTGGTTCCTGCTGCTGCTGGGGCATGTGTAGCTGTTACAGCAGTGTTTGCAGGGCTCTGCCAAGGAACCCTTTACACCTGGAAAGGTCCCAGTGTCTCAGTTTGCAGGAGATGCTGTGACAGTGACTAGGGGGGAAAAAAAAAAAAGAAAAGCTAAGCTCTGTGAAAAGCAAATAAAAAGCAAAGGCAAATGTGTCTAGGCAGAGATCTAGTTTGGAGTCATTGTGCTGATGGAATTTGATCCTGTGATGCCTCGGGTCATGTCTCCTTCCTATTTTCAATCTCTAAATCGGCTTGCAAAGGAAAGTGGTTATGACGGACATTTGTTATGCTACTTCTGGACAAAAGCAATAGCATTGTAAGTTGTGAGTAGGTTTCTCTTTTTTTCCCCTTCTTTTTTAATCTGGTTTCCTAAGAAACAAGGTTTGTGTGATTGTGCTCTCTGCCTCTGTACCTAACAACCTTTGCATGGAAGGCTGTTTTTTACCAACTCTCAATGATGGGCAGAAATTCCTTCTAAGTGTATGAAAAGAGACTGCTGAAAAAAGTGCTGCTGCTGCGGAGAAGGTGGCCAGCAGCAAGCTTTGAACTTTCTAGCCCCTGGAGAATCCACTTTGGTTGCCATCCAGGCGGGAAGGGAAGGCACAGCTCCCATGTTTCTTATCCTCTTGTTTGCATAACAGCTACTGAACCACTGCCAGCCACTCTCCAGTGTAGTGAGGACCAGGGAAGTGATCTCTAGTTTGCTTTAACACCCTGTGCCCTTCAGCAGTGGGGTTGTGAGGAGCTGGGTCGCCCGGGGTAAGAGCAGGAGCCTCCAGGAGATGGCTGGAGGCAGGCGAGCGCAGCCGTTCTGAGAAGGCATCCAGCTGTGGTGTCACAGCAGGGGTGGGGCACAGCCTGCCGATGTAATTCTGCTGCTGACGTGACAAATGGTGTCTGGGACAAAAGGTGACAAATTGCAGGAGCAGGATTTTAGGGACATGGCAGCTAAGCCTGTCTGGTTTAGGATTTTCTTTCAATGTGTAGCACTCCTGTCTCCTGGCAGAGCTTCCCTCTTAGCTGCTTTATCTGAGGGATGTCATTGTCACACAGGGCAGGTGAAAAAGAGCTGGAATTGCTCTCTGGTCTGCTCAGCATTCCCGCAGGGTGCAGAGGAGTTAGGTGGTTAGTAGCTTCGTTTGAACAACCTCGCCCTGCCCTGGGAGCCGCAGGTAGGGACTGTGCGCTGGTCTTCTGCCCTTGCAGTGCAAGTCTCTCTGTTAGCAAACTAAACGGCATCCTAAGTGCTGTGAGAGCATCATGAAGGACAGGTGATAAATTCCTTTGGCTCAATTCATTTTATCACCCTCCCTTCCCGAGACTAATGGTCATTTCGCTGTTGTCATTACCAGCAGCAGGATGCGGGCTCTTCTGGTTGTGAAAGCTGTTGTGTCCCAGGCATCCCTCCTCTCTTTAAACCTGGGATCTCCTTTCCCTTGGGCAGTTTCCAGATGCAAGGTTGCTAAGAGGAGAGAATTAAACTTAGATAATAAACGTACATCAAAGAAAAGCACACAGTTCCCGCTGCCTCTGAAAGGAAAATGTCAAGACCCGTGTCTACATGTCGGAAGGAAGGTGGGTGCAAGGGCATGTGTGGAGGAAATCTCCTCTAGGCTCCCTCTTTTCCTGAGGAAGCTGAAGCAATGCTTGCCAGTGCAAAGGGAAAATCCCTCGGCTTGGCTCTGAGCTGGTTCTTTATCAGAAAGGCATTATCTGGGTAATTAGCTCTGCCTGCAAGTACAAATGTCTTTGGCTCTTTCATGCATGTGAGCTCAGGAGAGGTTTGCTGAAGCATCCCTGTGTTGCTCCCATTATGCACAGCTACAATTCAGTGAAGGAAGCCTTGTCCTGCCAGCTTGCACTGTAATTAAAGTGAGGCTTCACTGCCACATGCTCTCATCTCTGCTCTTGTGATAATTAAGTGGCTCTGGCCCATTGCATGATGAAGTTTGCTCTTCGTCCCCCGTTTGCGTTTGAAAGCGCAGTGGGACAGGTCCTCTTTTCTGATCCAGCCCTACTTGTATAGTGGCAGCTACTGGTGCTTTGAGGTTGGTATAAGCATGTCCTGGTACTTCATCCACAGCAGCAGAGGTGGCTTATGATACAGTAGCCCCCACTTATCTCCTCATTGCCCCTCGTAGCGTTCTTGAAGGAGTTTAGGTGACAGCAGTAGCTCTTGTTCCCTGTGTTTCTATCCCCGAGAGCAATTCTTGCCTCTGCTATTGCTCCTCTCTGTACCTTCCTGCTCCCTCCAGCCTCTCCCCAGAGCCCCAGGAAGGCCTAGGCTGATGCAGGCACGGCTGGTGGTGATGGCTCAGTTCCTCAGGCTGTATTCCCCAAGCAATTTATGCAACTTGGGAGCTTTCAGCAGCAAATTGCATCTTCTGTTTCTTCTTTTTCTAAAATTCATTGCCAGAAGGCAGGGAGGGCACAAGGTGGGATTGGAGCAAGGGGAACCTTTTCCTCCCAGGCTGGTGGTGGTTGAAGGAGAAATAGGTGTACCAATTCCTTTTGATTTTTTTCCCATGAATTTTCATTATGGAGAGATAAAAGTGGAGAGTGTAGGATGTCCTCCAGGCTTGGTCCTGGCCATGCTTGGAGGTGGTTGCGCACGTCTTGGATCCTCTTTCAGCAGACCATGAATCATTTGGCTGTCTGTATTGGACACAGCACTGTGCTAAGTAAAAGATAAGCACTTCTGAGTCTGTCTCTCAACTCCGTTTTTTCCAACAGTTGGCTCGTGAGCTGTCAGGCAGGATTGAGAACTACACAGTGTCTCTTCTCAATTACACAGGTGCAAATCCAGAGGATTTCACTGGATCAGTACCAAAAATTACAATCCTTTCATCAAGCTGTGAACTTGGCTGCAGCGGGAGCACTGACGGGAGGTGGGGATCCTGGGGCATGCAGTGGCATCACTGCCAGGAGAAACAGCTTGGGAAGGAGCTTGCCGAAATGGTTTGGGTGACCTGTTCCTGGTGTACGTGTAAAAAAATAGGTAGCATGCAGAGAGCCTGCCTCTGTGGTATTGATGCAAAATTCCTTGGCATTTGACCACGTGCTGTGGGAGTCCTTGGTTAATTATATTTCGCAGGGGTCACTCCAGTATGAATTACAGGTTTGGATGCTTAATTAGTAGAGGTAACTACCTATTCTAGGGGAATGAGTGAGTGACCAACCCAGCTCCTGGGAGCATAGACTGTTTTCCTAAGCAAATTGTACCATGAGCTGGTTTCTCATGAAATATTTATCTGCTGGGCCACACGGGGCTGTCTGAGTGGCCCTCAAAAAGGTTATTAATGCACAGAGCAGATGGAGGCGCAGGGACTGTTCATTACATTCAGATTGCCTTTTGCCACTATGCTAATGCCAACTGGATGGCAGAAAAAGTTACCCTGACCTCCTCTCATGCCTCAGCTGCCTGGGTTCTCAACGGTGCCAGCATACAATCGGGTACAAGAAGGGAGGGAAGCTGTTGGCAAAAACCCGCTTCCCTCTCTGTGTCTTTGCTGTGCTCCTGCACAGAGCCGGCTTTGCTGTTTCTGATCATGCAGGGACAGATGCCCACAAAGTATCTTGTTTGTGGTCTTGGGCATGGTGCTGGATCATGCTGCAGGTGCTCTGTATTGTTCTAGCAGCATGGAAGAGGTTTCATAGAATCATAGAATCATAGAATGTTTAGGGTTGGAAGGGACCACTAGTGGTCATCTAGTCCAACCCCCCTGCAGTGAGCAGGGACACTGCTAACTAGATCAGATTGCTCAGAGCCCCATCCAACCTGGCCTTGAATGTTTCCAGGGATGGGGCCTCCACTACCTCTCTGGGCAACCTGTTCCAGTGTTTTACCACCCTCATTGTAAAAAATTTCTTCCTTACCTCTAGCCTGAACCTACCCTGTTCTAGTTTAAAACCATTTCCCCTTGTCCTAACACAGCTGGCCCTACGAAAAAGACGTTCCCCATCTTTCCTATAGGCCCCCTTTAGGTACTGGAAGGCCGCAATCAGGTCTCCCCACAGCCTTCTTTTCTCCAGACTGAACAAGCCCAACTCTCTCAGCCTGTCCTCATAGGAGAGGTGCTCCAGCCCTCGGATCATTTTTGTAGCCCTCCTCTGGACCCGTTCCAACAGTTCCATGTCCTTCTTGTGCTGAGGGCTCCAGAGCTGGACGCAGTACTCCAGGTGAGGTCTCACCAGAGCTGAGTAGAGGGGCAGAATCACCTCCCTCGACCTGCTGGCCATGGGGGTTACCCCAACCCAGGTGCAGGACCTTGCACTTGGCCTTGTTGAACCTCATGAGGTTCACACAGGCCCACCTCTCCAGCCTGTCCAGGTCTCTTTGGATGACATCCCTTCCTTCTGGTGTGTCAACCTCACCACTCAGCTTGGTGTCATCCGCAAACTTGCTGAGGGTGCACTCGATCTCGCTGTCTAAGTCATTGATGAAGATGTTAAAGAGCACCGGTCCCAGTACGGACCCCTGAGGGACACCACTCGTCACCGGTCTCCATCCGGACATCGAGCCATTGACCACTACCCTCTGGACGCGACCATCCAGCCAGTTCCTTATCCACCGAACAGTCCACCCATCAAATCCATAGCTCTCCAATTTAGAGAGAAGGATGTTGTGGGGGACCGTGTCAAAGGCCTTGCCTTGTTTATGGGGCAAAACTAGTCTTTGGGAATACAAAAGGTGTCCCCAGGCAGTGCAGAGCTGGTGGAAAGGCTGTGTCCTCACCCTAGTCCAGGTCTGTGTTGGAGGTTGAAAGGGTGTTAGCAGTACGGCTGTGATACTCCAGCTCTTTTCCTTCCTAGATCCTCTGGCAAAGCAAAACATAAGGTCGAGCAGCCTTGAAGTGGCTCTGACTTGTGGCATGGCCATAGCATCATCCAAAACAACAGGTACTTAAAGGTCAGCTAGAGGAACCCACCTCTTCTTTCAGGCTCCTGCCCCAAATGCATAAGTGGGGCTTCTTTTTCTTTGTCCAGTTTAAAATAACTAAAACCCATTTATTTTTTCACAGGGAGAAAGATGAATGAAACAAGTGGTTAGCAGTGCCCTTAGGAAAGCTTATGTCAGTGTGTTTGCTTGTCTCATGGCCACCACTAATCAGAAGACTTCTCTAAGTTGAGGACAGACCTGAGCCAGTCCCTGTTGCCCAGCATAATCCCAGGTCACAGACCACTTTGGCTCTTGTCCAGTTTTAACACTGCTTTTTCTTCTTTCAGGCTATGAAAGTCCTCTCCAAAAAGAAGCTCTTGAAGCAGTATGGATTTCCACGTGAGTATCTTGCATTTAGAGGTCTGCCTGTTGTCCTCAGCCAGGCAACTCTCTGTGTAGGAACATTGTCTGCAAGGACTGCAGAACTTGGCCTCATTTGAAAGCTGCCCCATTAGTTGGGGGGGCTGATTAAAATGCAGTGGGTATTGAAAGGGCAGGCACAACCAGAGAGAAATTCAACATATCTGGTAATTAACTTCCTGGCTTTGATTTTCTGAGTCTTTTTGAAGTGCTGACTCTTCCGTGTTCACTATCTATGAAGCCTAATTAAGTACTGGAAGTTAGGTGGGGTAGATCCCCTCTTCCTCGGGGCTCTACTACCCCCTCAGATAGCACCTGGCTCCAGTGACTGAGCCATGGGACCTGGCAAACAGGCTGAGCTGGGAAGCCAGTAGGAGCTGGTCTGAACGGGGCTTGAAGATCTCTATTCTGGATGGAGACTGTAATGCTTTGGGTTGACAACAAGGTGATGAGATCTTCCAGAATAGCTGGAAGTATCTGCAGAGGGGCCAGTGGCTGCTCACTCCTGTGTGCCAGGTACTGCTGAAAATTGAGTAGTTCTTCACCATGTTGTTACAATTGCAGGTCGGCCTCCTCCCCGAGGGTCAAAAGCATCCTCCGGAGAGCAGCCAAAACCCATGGCACCACTGGACAGAATCTATCAGGAAATAGCCATCTTAAAGAAACTGGATCATGTCAACATTGTTAAGCTGATAGAGGTGAGCTGCTTCTCCACCCTAAGCTACACTGAAACAAGTCTGGTTTGTATTGCAACACGAGGATCTTTCTTCAACTGCTCCTACTTCAGCCAAAATTGGTTTAAAAGACTTGTTCAGAAATTTAGGCTGGTGATTCCAAGCAAGATCATACCAATTATGTATGACAAACTGACATAGTTATCCTGGGCTTTGGGCTGGTGCCCAAGAGAAGGCAGATGGTTGTGCTAGTAGGAATAGCAGCAAGCTTGGACAAGTGGAACTTGTGTGTAGACAAGCCTGGGAAGGTGCACAAGTGCAAGGCTTTGGTGCCATTTTCAATATTGGCTGAGGTCAGATTAGGACAAGCAGTGCCTTTATTGGTAGATTGTTTCTCCAAATACAGGCAGAAGTCCAGATTTTTCTGGAGAGGGGAAAATCTGTCATCTTCAAAGCCCCTCTTTGTGCAGGAATCTCTAAATATTAGCCTAAGTTGTTCTCAACGCTTTGCAGCTCAGCACAGTGGTCAGGGAGCAGTAAAATGTTACTTGATTAAAAAATCTTTTTTTCTGCTGTTTTTCTCTTTTTGTTTTTTCTCCTTTACCCTTATCTCTCCGCTATCAATTACAGGTCCTTGATGATCCTGCAGAGGACAACTTGTACATGGGTACGTGAATTATTATATGCTAACAGAACCATCGGGACTTAGACCTAGTGATGCAAGTAACATGTACCAGGGCTTGGAGTCAATACCAGGAGGAAACTTGTACCAACTTCAGCAGACTTACATTTTTCTGAAAAATTAAATGCCTGTAAAGGCAGTGGGATGGAAGGGCCCCTTGCAGTAGGGTAAGGCAACCTTGTGTCTTAGTATAGCACATCTCTTTGCCATGAGGGCACTAAAAAGACATGACAGTGGCTCTGCCCTCCCCTATGTATATGTCGGCTCCAGTCCTAGAGCCAGGAGAGAAGGGAAGGGTGCAGGATGATTTCTCATCTTCCTGGTATGAGGTTGGTCTCTCTAGACTTCTCCTGTAGGCTGTGGGTAGTGGTAGTGACTCTGGAAAGCTGTCTTGTCTCAAAGTGTTCCCTGTGACCCCTGCAGAGATACTGACCACCCTGCTGAGCCTCGGGACCTCCTAAGACAGCCACACTCCTGCCTTTGGCCTCTGAGCCGAGACCCTACCGTGGGGTGCTCAGATGGTGAGGCCATAGCTGACCGTGTGTTTATGCAGAGGGCAAGGAATTTCCACCCACTTTGTCTTCCTTTCCCCCAAACCTTGGAAGTGCCAGCCACAGTCTAACCCCCGTTTAAGCAAAACCTGGAGGGACAGGCCTGGGAGGCACTGACCCCATTCCATCTCTGCTTCCCCGTAATCTTTCCTTGTGAGACAGGCTCAAAGGCAGCTTCTCATGAAATAATTATGGGACGCTTTTGCAGCTGCCTGTGAAAGGGGCCTCTGCCTAGCAAATGAAGCTATTTGCCTTTGAAAGGCCACTTTTCCCTTTCGGCTGAAGCCCCCGTGGCGCTCTGGCAGCATCCCAAAGCAGCATCCCAGGCAGATGCACGTGTGGTGGGGCGGGCAGCTAAAGCTGTTGTTTAAAGGCCTGGGGATGGAGAGAATGGGAGAGATGAGGTAGGAAGCTTTTTTTTTTTTTTTTGTTGAATGTAAATAAATTCATGAGAAAGTTAGAGGAAAAAAAAAACCCAACCAACACTTCCTCCTCCCCCTCCCCCCAAAAAAAACCCACCCCACAAAACTAAGCTCTCCCTGTGGAGCAAAATAACAGTCCCAGAAATGTCAGCAATAGCAGTAAGGCAAGTGGGAAATCTCTTGGTCCCAATGGGGGTCCTGGGGAGGTTGCACTGGTCCCTGGGCAGCGAGCAGTGGCTGTGTCTGTGTTGTCCATGCCCCATCACCTCTTTGCTCCCCTTTGCCCTGCCTGGGATAGCATGGGTGGTTCAGGCAGAGCCATGCAGGCAAATCAAGCTCCTGCCTCTGTGGTTCCCTCAGAAGCAAGGGGAGGCCGTGGGTGCTCAGCACTGCTCAGAATTGAGCCTTCTGCAAATGGGTTTCCTCCCTCCTGCTGCTGACCCAGCCAATGATAACCACACCTTTCTCCTTCCAAAAATGCCCCCCACTACAAAGCAAAACTAGAGAAAGTGGAGTCTGGTCTTTGCTAATTACTGCTGGCATTAAATCCTGCTATGAGCACTCTGCTGCGTGCTCATTGGGAAGAGAGAAGGGGAGGGAGGGTGCAGATAAAAAATTGAGCAACCTGCAACGGCACAAGATGGTTGAATAATGAAATGCTGCCACGAGCTGCAGCTTCTTCAGCCTGGAGAGCAAGATGAGCCAATGCAGGCTGGCTTGCTGTGCTTGTACCTTCAGCTGGCCTAGCATCGCAGCTGTAAGCCGGGCTGCCTGGTGCTTTGGGGAGGGCAATCTGCTCAGATTTCTTGGGAGGTGCAAGAAATCCCTTAGTAATTCAGGAGGAAAAAGCTCTCTTACTAGATAAAGGCAGATCCTTCTCCTGTTTGCAGAACAGGTCAGAGGCAAGATCAGAAAAACACATTGCCACTAACCCCCAGTCAGACACAAAAACTCATGTGCTCTACAAACCTCGGCTCACACCAACAAATCCTCTCCAATTCCTCCTGCCAGGGAGTGTTTACCTCTGATGGGCATGTAACTGTGCTGCTGATTGACGCAGCAGAAATGGAGCAACATGTTCTTACAGCATCTCATTTGGTATCAACAATTTAGCAGAAATATCGCACCAAGCAGCGTCCCAGAAGGTACTGAATAAGAAGGGGCTCAAATCAGCAAGGGCTGACATGGGGAGCAGCAGAAATGTGGTTGATAAATTAGCACCCGCTGTCTCCCTGCATGGAGCTGGCGGGAGGTGGGGATATTTGTCTTTGATGAAGAGATGAATGTTTTCATTTTGCGTCTTCTGGTGCCCTTGTCATGGGTGAGGGAAGAGAAGCGAGTGGAGGTAAATTGATTTTGCAGGTATGGGAATGGATGTGGTTTTGTAGGTGCTAAAAAACAAATACTCCCAGTCCCCTCTTCTGATTCATTCATGGTTTGATTTCCTTTTCTTGCAGTGTTTGACCTCCTAAGGAAAGGGTAAGTAGCCCGCCTGGGATCCCTTGTGTTCAAATTTTTGATGTTCATAATTAGCTTCCTAGGTGAAATGGAGGTTTGATATGTACAGTGGGGCAAACCACTGTCTGCAGGCAAACACAGAGGAGGTAAAATCCAGCTGTAGTTGCCTTTGCACTGTTACAGCCTGGAATGATGCGGTGAATAGTAATGGACTAGGAGGACATGCCCTGGTATCAGGCTTTGATCCGGAAAACAAGTTTGATTCCAATTCCCTATCAGGTGCCTGGAAGAAAAGGTTTTAATAGGAATACTCTGCTGGGGTAACAGCCACATTGTGGCTTCCTCTGGCACAAGGGGTGTGTGGTTGCATCAACATGCACTTGCCACCTGCTGCCTTACTTCGCCCCTAGCACTAACATCTTGTGGCAGGCTGTTTTGTTGGCACATTTTTCTGTAGCAGAAGTGATAAGGTACTAGGAGTCTCCTCACTGCTTTTTGCTACACCTGCACTGATTCTGCGGAGTCACAGTGAGGTTGGGAGAGGTGTGCCCAGGATGGGAAAGATTCCCTGAGGGCTTATTTTTCTCTCTGGCCCTGTGAACAGGGAGAGGGGGAGGGGAAAAAAAGCTCCTGTAATCAGCTGTGGCCAGAGAACGTGCAGCTTGGCTGAGTGCAGCCTGTCTGCCTCTAGCAGAAGGCAATTAGGCTCCATTAGTGGCTCTGCTAGTCCTGCTGCTCACATTATTTCTCCCTGGTTTCAGCAGCAGAAAAATGTGCATGAAGAGGGAAGGAAAGCAGTGGCAGAAAAATGCAAATGGCAGATGAAGGTCATCAACCAAACAGCAGCAAGGGAGAAGAGAGAAATGCTGCAGGAAGGGTTTGCTACTGGGTGCTGAGGGGAAGAGCTGCCGAGCCTGGTTTTGGCCATGGGCTATTCTCAGCCAGGGTTTGGCTTGCAAGGACAGTCTTGGGAGCACTCACTTAAATCCAGCCTGAGTCAGCGGGCGTATGTCCAAATGCAAGGTCAAGCTGCCGAGCACAAGCAGGATTAACCCCCAGTGCAGTGAAGTCCTTAGCTCCTGCCATTTATCTGCCGGGCAACAGAAGATGCTGACTACAGCCTCTTTGCCCTCAGCTTTCAGCAGGCACAGGCAGGAGAGGGGCTTTTAGAGGATACTGTGCATCTCTCAGCAGTGGCAGCATACAAAGGAAAGGAGAGGGGAAGCTGACCAGGTAACCTGGGCTGTTTTAAGGCTGAATGGATGAGTTCTGGTGATGGCTGAACACTGAACAGCAAAATATGTTTTCAAAGCAGTTTAGCGCAATGCATTGGAAATATTCACACTTAACCTTTGAGCCAGTGGTTCATGTCTAGATTCTGCCTTGGTTTAGACTAGCAACATGCTGATATTGCTTCAGGACTGAGCCCCAGCAGGCATGACATCCAGTGCACAGCAAAGGGCACTGTATCCTCGCTGCTGCCTGGTACCTGCTGGTGATGCTGGTGCTTACAGCCATGAGCAGCTTTAGCAAGAAATCAAAGGCCAGATCCAGTTTTGTTCTTTCACTATGCTTTTCCCATTAGGGCTCTTGGAAAATTAAGTGTTTGCCCTATGTTGTGCAGACATCAGCAGTTAATCCTGGTGTTGGTGAGGGGTCTGTGGCTCATGCTGGCTCAGGGACTATGCAAAGCCACCCATCACCACTAGCCAGGCTCGCTAACCTAGGCATCACCATGTCCAGAAAGGATGGCTATGCCTCCATCCTGTGTCACAGCACCCAGAACCTCTTGGGAGCCTGGCCCTCAGTGCTGGGGACTTAGTGATGGAGAATCTGAAACTCCTCCAGCAAGGAGGTTTACTGCTATTCTGCAAAGTACTTAGTTACTCTCCTTCTTCCTAACAGGCCTGTCATGGAGGTACCAAGTGACCATCCCTTCAGCGAGGAGCAGGCTCGGCTCTACTTCAGAGACATTGTCTTGGGCATCGAGTACTGTGAGTACCACCAGTACTGTCAGCAGCTTTGCAGGGTATGTGTGTTGGCCTCCTGCTTAGCTGGGGAGAAGCCTCTCTGCTCTGGTGGGCTGTCAGTTGGGCAAGTGAGGTCCCCTCTAATTGCATGTGACAGGGTTTGCAGTTGATGGCCTCACTCAGCTGAGATTTACCCGGGTGGTATCACAGATGCTGGCAGCAGGCATTTCTTAGGAAGGACGTTATGAAGATCGTGGCTTCCTTTTTTCTTGTAGTTCTCTCTCTTTTTGGAGAGCATCTTTTAAGGCAATAACAGAGCCAGAAAATGGGTGTTTGCAGTGATACAGACTGAGTCAGTTGACTTCAGTTAGAACAAATTGCTGTCTCCAGCTTAGCAGGGAAAGTGCTGGCAACGTGGAGAACTGGTGAGCAGCGCTTGTGAGGGTGTCTGCCCTTGTCCGCTCCCTCCACAGCATCAGTTTCTGACTTATTGTCACTCAGGGCTGTGTTGTGACCAGAGCCCAGCACTGCTGTGCCCTCGCAGGGAGGTGGTGACTCAAGTGTGTTCCCAGGCTCTGCCTGGAGACTCCAGTGGCAGGTTTCCTGTTTGTAGCCCATTTGATTATCACTACGTTTTTTGTAGTAAGTCTTCTCCCAGTGTGGCTGAACCAGATTCTTTGCTGAGCACCTACCCTGAAGGCCATGATAGGTCTGTAAATGACAGCAGGGATTTTTCTGGCCCCGTTGACATGTTCCTGCTGGCTTGAACCTGGTAGGGGTGGAAGAGGGGTCCGGGAATTGAAGACACAAGGTAGAGTGGTGATGTGCTGGCATCTTGTGAGCATGGGCCCCGAGGAGCAGTGAGGGCTGGCTGGTGTTTCCCCTTGTGGACTCTTAGCAGAGCTGGCATGTCCTTGTAACCTCTTGACCTCTGCAGCAGGGGATTTGAGGCTGCCAGATGGTGCATTTTGCTTGCTGCTGATCTGCAGAGTTTGTGCTGCAGGCTTCATGGCTGGGCTTCTCTTCTGACCTGTGCCAGCAGTGGGAGGAAACCCATGAAATTGCTGGTTGCTTTCTTTTCTGTAAGACAGACCTCTGAAAGTAGCAAGCATGGTAGAGTTGGGCATTTATGGGTGCAGGATACATCTGTACCATGCAAGGAGGGGGTGGGTCAGAGAGCCTGGTGCTTTGATGTGGAGCAGTGCTGGTAAGCTGGCATTACTCCCATCCTGTGTCTAGACATATTACACTGCACATTCCCACTCCTCCTGAGCCTCCTACACCAGCATTGTCACCAAGTCAGAAGGCACAGCTCAGATCCCCTGTTGCTCACTCACATTAGCCTGAGCCTATTCTCTCCCTTTTCCAGCAGAAGGTCCCTGCCTTTGTCCTCAGTGCTGCTCCTTACACTGGAGCAGTTCATGTGCAGGGTGCTTCAGGGACCCACATAGCATGGAGGTAACCATGAGTCAGCTGGTCTGCAGTTACTGCTTGCAAACCAGCTTGGCACATTGTCAGGCAAACTGCTGGTGAGCTCCGTTTGTCTCTGTGCCTGTTTGATCCTGCTGTCCTGCTTGTAGACAGCTCTCTAGAGTTTAATGATCTCATCATTGACTGCTTTCTCTACACATTGATGCACTAAAGAATTGACCGTGGTTGGATGAATATGAGGAGGGAGAGATGACATACCGTTTACAGACGTAATTCATGCCTTGCAGATCTATTAGTTTTCCAGAAGAGTCAACAAACAAGTAGATAAGGTGATCCTGTTACCACGTTGTGTTTCAGTTGCCAAACAGCTTTTGATTAGATCATTTAACAGTGGCTCATAAAGAAGCTCATAAGTCTCTTTGGTTGGATGTCCTCTTGTGGATTAACAACTAGACAATCAGTGAGGTAGGAATACTGCTTTCGCAAAGGAGAAAGTCACTAGCGCAGTTAAACAGGAATCCATAATGTGGCCTGGGCTGTTCCTAAATGACCAGAAGAAGGGTAGAGCACAATAAGAGAGATTGGTGATGACATATAGTTATTCAGGATAGTTAGATAGATTGTTAGAACTGACTGCGAAGACTGGCAGGAAGATGCCATGATAGCAAGTGATGGCATGATAAAATGGCAGATAAAAATTCATGTTGCTGACTGCAAGATAATGCATGAAGGGGAGAAACAACACTGAAAATACGTACATAGTGATGGGCTCTAAATCAGCTGTTCTCACTCCAGGCTTCATTCTGGATAGTTCTCTTGAAAATGCCAGCCAATTACTTAGTGACAGTCAACAAAGCTAACAAGATTTGGGGAATTATTGGGAATTAAATAGAGAAGAAAACAGAAAATGTCATTATACAGTCATTTGGATCTGTAAGAGCTCTTAGATACAGGCAAGGAATATCTTGAATATTTTGTGCACCTCTGCTCAGCCTGTCCTAAAAACAGCTCTGTAAAACTGAAAGAAGCCTGAGAAGGGTGATCAGGACAGTCCTGGAACATCTTGTATACGGAGGTGGAACATCTTCTGTACAGAGATAAGACCAAAGCTCTTAGGATTTGAAAATTATCATGGAAAGGGGTGATATGACAGAGGCTTATAAAATCTGAAGTGTCATTGAAGTGGTGAACGGGCAATGAATCTTTGTCACTAAAAACACAAGAACTGAAGGGTAGCAAACAAAATAATTAGGTAGCAAGTTTAAACCAGAAGGAATTACTCTTTTATGTAGCATCTTGGCTCCTCTTTTGCCCAGCAGCTTGTCCCCATCATCCTTGAGGTTATCACTGGGCTGACCCGGTGGCAGAGGTAGCTGCGCTATGCCAGGTTCTGTGAGACTGATGTATGTCAGCTTGGTGTCTCTTAGGCATGGCAACCTTTTATAAACCTGGCTTGCTTTGGCAGTGCAAATGCACAGTTTTGGTAGAAAATCTGAAGGCAGAGCAGCCAGCAGAGGGAGGGATAAGGACACTTGAGCAAGTGATCATCTTCCCCAGTCAGCTTAGTGTGCAGTGCATGAAAGGTCAGACATGTGCAAGATAGAGCTGTGTCACCCTCCCTGTTTAGTCCAAGGTGAGATTTTCCTAGCTGTTCCAACCTTTGGAAATGAATACCTGCTTCTTTCACAAACCAGAAGGAATTGTTTCAGATGTGTTTTCAAAAAGCCAACATGTAGCTGTGTCAAACTCAAAAAGAATGTTTCATGCTGCTGTAGTGCTTTGAGCCACATCTGCCTTCATTTCACTGATCACTGGGTGGCCCCTGCAAGCTCGGAGCCAGAGCAAGCCCCTTGCTTTTGTTGAAGACTCACTTGGCTTCAGAAACCTGCAGAGAGCAAGTCTCTGAGCATAACAGACCTTGTCGAGGCAGAGGAAGGTGTCTTGCAGTGTCTTGGTTCATGTCCACATTGAAATGCAACACCACATCATTTTTTGTCTAAAACCAGTGGGTGGGAATGAAATCAATGTTTGCAAGTGTGTGACAGTCCAGAAGCTTCCAGGTTCTGCCAAAATTAGTCAGGTCACCCGAGGAAGTCAGTGGAAATATATATATGAATGGGAAGCACAAGACACTTTTTCAGTAGAGTTTGAAGGGAGAAGACTGCAGCTTTTTATATTCTCATTAACATTCATATTATAGCAGAACCTGTATGCCTCAGCTGGGAGATCCAAGCTCTGCTGTACTGGATGCTGCTGGCATAACAGTTCCTGCTCAGAGGAAACTTTAAGTTTAGAAGATAGTCAGGAAAAAAGAAGTAAAGAGTGAGTAGCCCTGGGCAGAGGGAATGAAAGAAGGCAATAAATTACAAGATGCTCAAACATTCCCAACAACAGGAACAATAGGATGCTTTATTTTGTGCTATTGAGTAAGCACTTATTTTATTAGTGAATGAAAGTTTAAAATGGTGTTCTGAGAGAACTGCTGGGTAAATGCATGGCAATTATTATGTAACTACAGAGGAGAAGTGCACCGTTTGTGCATGCTGAAGGAAAAGTGTTGCCAGGCAATCTAGAGATTGCAAGGTATTTTTAATGTAAGCATACATAATTGTTGTGTAATTTGGGAGACTCAATAACCATACAGCTGCGTGAAGCTCTCAGTCATCACAGCAGCAAATGCATCATTGCTGGTTGGGTTTTATTAAGTTAGAAGTTGCAAACTGGATTCCTGTCGGAGCCTGCAAGGCATTAATCCAGGCCAGTGCACTGCCCTTGATGCAAGTGGTATGTGGTGAGTGGGAAGGGGCTGCAGGAGCCAAGCTCATGGGAGATGTGAGCTGAGCTTTTAAGTTACTGGTGGTGGTACACAGTGCATGGCCACTGTACATCCGTGGGGACTGGACCACTTGTTACTTGTGACAGTTGCCTGGGGTGGAGGCCTCCTGTGAGAGGGCTGGCTCTGGGGAGAAGCACTTGGAGGGAGGCAGTGGTCAGTGTGATGAGAACAGAAACATCCTACACTGGGTGGGAAACCTGGCTTAGGCATGGTGGGATGCAGGGACAGGTGCCCTGGAGAGAGCAGAGAGCTCCCCATCCAGGCAATGGCACAGTGCTGCTTTGCTTTGTTGTCTGCTTTTGGCTGGGTTTCTGAGTTTAGTACGTACAATACTGAGAAGCACGCTTTGATATACGTGCAGTCTCAGCCTCGTTCACTGGTGAATGAAGAAGCAGAAGCAGGTTCAAGGTCTGAGAGCTGGGGAGATCTGCCCATGGTAGAGCTGCCTCTGGCCCCTGAACTGCTGGGAAAATATTTTAAGCCTAAGTGTGGTAATATTACTGGCTCACCGGTTCTGTTTTTGTATGCCTGTCTTGGATCTGGGCTCTGTTGTGCAGACTGCTTCAGAAGTCTTTTAAGCATGTGCAAACTTAAATTCGTACCCTGGTGAAGTGGGCCTTATGAAGGAAAGTGCTTTTGCTCCTGCTTGCGAGACTTCCCTGGCACTGATGGCATTCCACACACATCTTCATGAACTGAGGAGGCAGGCTGCCTGCTTGTTATAAGTACCACTGGAGTGGTAATTCCAGAATGTACT